AGGCGGGTCTCGAACCCATGGGCTCAGGCAATCCACTCACCTCAGCCTCCCAAGGCACGGAATTACAGGCTGAGCCACCAAGCCCAGCTTATACTTATACATTTTAAGGAGAATTCTACATTAAGTCATCTGTAGTGACCATGGGACATTACTAGGGAAAATTTCGCTTCATGTTTATTTCATTAAAGATAGAACCTAGACAAAACAATAAAAACAATCAGTATTTAAGTTGAGATTGCAAAGACAATGGTTGTTAAATGTATTGTTTTGTGCATTTCAAAATTGTGCTTGTTTTTCCAACTCTAGCCCCATCTTTCATAGTTAAAGAAAGTATGGCATTCAGTTTGTTTGTTGAAACACACATACACGTTTAGTTCTGTCTTTTCTATTTTTTTAAACAGAAATGTTTTACTATCATATTATTTTTTTCCTGTTTTTAAGGACTGCTGTCACTTCTATCTCAAATGTTTTGATGCTCAAAGACCTTATATACTGTAAAATGTTTGAAAGCAGCATTTATAAAAGCACCATATTATAACATCAAATGTTATCATGATTAGTCAAAGACTAATTAGTTAAAGACTACAAGACTACAGAGATGGCAAATCAACAATATGCTAGATGAGACATTGGTAGAAGGTTGTTTGATAAGTACCTTTTTTCTTAGTTTTGGTAGGTCTGGTAGAAAGCCTTTCTGAAAGAGAAAAGAGATTAATGGTATGATGGAGTCTTGTTTTTATTTTGTGAGCTTGGTGTTTCTGACTACTCTCCAGGTATTTCAACCTGAATGTTCCACTATCAACTCAAATTCAAGATGTTGTCATGAAAATTATTTTTTTTGATTCCCCAGGGATTAAAGTAAGCATTTAGACTTCTCTGGGTTCTTCATGATTTCTATGAGTGGCCCAGTGAATGCATCTGCCTCACTACCTACAACTTCTTACACATTGTGGAGCAGATTTTTATGTCAACCTTCCTATATGAGTAGAATACCCCATTCTATGTTTTTTATTTCTTTGGTTTTTCATAACTACTCTTCTTTTGAGACCTAGCTCAGTGCAAACTGTTCCATGAAACAGTCCTCAACCTCAAAGTCAGAAATGACCTTTCTTCCCCCAAACTACTGTATCTCTTCCTGTCTCTTGTTAGAGCATTGACACATTGTCTGGTAAAACCTTTCTCCTGAGTAGTGGTGTACACCCTGTAGGACTGCATGGCTTTAGATACTGTTTAAAAAATATTCGCAGAGTTGCGCAGCGGAAGCATTCTGGGCCCATAAAAAATATTCGCTGAGCAAAGGTCTTTTCTTTTTTTGCTTTTAAATTAATTTAATTTTTAGAAAGAGGGTCTCACTGTGTTGGCCAGTCTAGAGAGCAATAACTATTCACAGGCTGATTGTACTACTGATCAGCATGGGAGTTTTGACTAACCTTGTTTCTGACTTGGGAAGGTTTACCCTTCTTTAGGGACCCTGGTGGTCTCCCACTCCTGGGAGGTTGTTTAGTATGGACATCTGATTGGCATAGTGCCCTGCAGCCCAGAACTCCTGAGCTCAAGTGATTTTCTCATCTCAGCCTCTCTAGTAGCTGGAAGAGCAGGCATGCCCCAGTGGACCTTGCGAATTTTTTCTTTATTGTTAGAATGGCACAAGGAAGAACTGTCTGGGGTGTTTAATGAAAAGAGCACTATACTGAGAGTCAAAAGAAGGATTTATTTGCAGCAAAGACCCTGTCTCTGCTTTGTCCACAACAGGGAATTGATATGAAGAACAAAGGAGTTATTGCAAGATGCAATTTATTTATATTCTTTTACAAGAATAAATTTGAGATAGCTTATCAAAAGAAATATTGTTGAAACATTTTATAATCCAGAAACTACCCGTCTTGATATATTATTTTCAGACATATAATTCTGCTATGTTACTTTTAACATTGGTCCTAAAATAAGATATCCCCTCTCCAATTTTGTTACTTTCATGTGACCAAGTTGCACGTTTTATTAGTGGCAGAGTCAAGGTCACAGTTACTATCCTAACTTTAAAAGGATAAGAGTTAATGTACTTAGTAGTTGAAGCTGTAACATAAGCCAACTGAGGTACCACCCGGGGACAATACTAGTCATAACATAGGGCAAGGGGAGTCATGGCAGTTTTCTGGACACTGAGAAATTCTGCTATAGTTTGGTGTTGGTGAATCATGACAGCTAAATACTTGATTTAAACCATTTGCCCCTAGAATACCTCTATCAGGTCTTTCAGGGTCCATCCACCGCAGCGCACACTTAGCTTCCAGTTCTTGGATGCTGCGTAGCCTCCTTCAACTTCAAATTCCCTGGGACTGAGCCACCTTCCATGCTCACTCTGTATACTCTTCCCTGAGGTTCCTGTAAGACCAAGACACGGTGAGCTCCCTGACTCTGAAATACCTGAACTCAGCCTCCCATAACACTGGGTCTGGAGCCGTCCACTTTAGGCTCAGGAGCAGTGGTAGGAAAGTCTGAATTTCCCTCTCAGATATCAGGAACCCCATACCCAGCCTGAAAGACCAGGGTGGAAAGGAACGTCTTGCTATGTGTGTCTATTTCTCTGACCATCGAGAAGGAGAAAGATTACCACCTTTTAAAAGTATTTTACTATAACCAGAAATAAAAAGAGTGAGTAGGATTCTTTTTCCATTCCTTCTCTGAACCCTAGGATAGAGGCAGACTGAGTTCCAGAGAGGCAAACGAGGGCACAAAGTCTACCATCATGCACTTTTGCCCCCAGCTGGTCACGTGGAAGCTGTTGCTACAGCCATATCTGCTTCACCTTGCACAACATTGTTCATCCAGCAAATGACAATCAATAACTTCTCATATTTTGGACTTATGGCCATTTTATGCTAAAAGTAATTATTATGCTAAAAGTAATATTGGAAATGTTGTCCAGTGGGAGAAGTGAAATTATGCGTATGAAATATAGTCACAAGGGCAAACATTTATGCTAGTTGGTCCTCAAAGAAACTGTATCGTGGGAGGGGGGAAATCCATCATGACAGATGAACATTGGCTCTGTACTTCAACAGTTAGAGTTTACAAAATATTTTAAGTCTGTTATTTCATTTTTTGTCTCATAATAATACAGTAAGGCAAGTTTTATTATTATTCTTCTCATTTTGTAGAGGAGGAAGTTCAGAGAGAGAGAGATTGAGTGCCTTGTGGTAGATGAATAGGAAACTCTTGGCATAGCTGCCACTTGAATGCAGGTCTTCTGATTCTGTATCCTATGCACTTTCCACTTAGCATAAGGTTATACAGATGTTATGGGAAATGGGGCGGTGAAGACTGAGGCTGAGTTTCCCAAATGTGTACACTTTCCACCAGGTATTGAAACACTTGCTCTTGCAGTGGGTACTATGTGGACATCCTGCAAGCCTTTTGCATGGGGTAAGGGGAGATGGCCTTATAGCTGATGTCTTATGAATTTTTAAAGTGTGTAAATACCCTTGTTACTCCAGCCTATCTAGGTAGTTGTGCAGAAAAGAGTGAACATAGTACACCTGAGACTGTCCTTAGTGGGTCTATGTGCAAGGTGGGACCTTGGCTGGCTTCTGGGAATTTGGATTTCAAGAGGGTTTCATCATTCCCAGAACTGAGAAAAAGGATCCCTGTGCCTAAACTACATAAACAATATGGATTATGCTGAACATCTGCTTTTCTTCTGGGAGTCCGAAATTTTGGTGTGTGCTTATGTGACTAACCTCTGATAAAAAAAAACCTTGGACTCCCAGACTCAGGCTGATTTCCCTGGTAGACAACATTTCACATGTGTTGTCACAGTTTTTGCTGCAGGAATTAAATGAGTCCCGTGTTTCCCCATTGGGGAGAAGAATCTTGGAAGCTTGCTCTTAGTTTCCTCTGGACTTTTTCCCATGCATCTTTTCCCTTTGCTGCTTTTGTTTTCCATTCTTTCACTCTTATATAAACTCTAGCTATTTGGCAACTAGTTCCTGATAAAAACCCCAAGTGCCCATACCATAAGAGATAAGATAGACAAGTGGGACCTCATCAAACTGACAAGCTTCTGCAAAGCCAAATAAACCATCAGGAGAGCAGAGAGACAGCCTACAGACTGGGAAAAAATATTTGCTAACTGTATGTCCGACAAAGGCCTAACATCTAGGATCCACAAGGAACTCAAATGTGCTGAAAAGAAAAAAACAAACAGCCCCATTACAAAGTGGGCAAAAGATATGAATAGATAGTTTTCAAAGAAGACATACAAGCAGTCTCATCCTCACTAGTCATCAAAGAAATGCTCATCTTCACTAGTCATCAAAAATGCTCATCCTTACTAGTCATCAAAGAAATGCAAATTAAAAGCACACCGATACCACCTAACTCCAGTTAGGATGGCCATCATCAATAACTCAAAAAACAACAGATGCTAGAGAGGATGTTGTGAAAAAGGAACACTTCTACACTGTTGGTGGGGGTGTAAACTGTACAACTTCTGTGAAAAACAATGTGGTGATTCCTAAAAGATCTAAAAATTGATCTTCCATATGACCCCACAATCCCAATACTGGGAATATACCCAGAAGAACTCAAATCACTCTATAAAAAAGATACCTGCACACGTATGTTTATTGCAGCATTGTTCACAATAGCAAGAACATAGAACAAACTGTGTAGCCCTCCAAAAGAGGACTGGATTTTAAAAATGTGGTACATATACATGATGTAATATTACGCTGCCATAAAGAAGAACAAAATCATGAACTTAACAGAAACCGGGATGAGCTTAGAGTCTATAATACTGAGTGATCTCTCACAGAAAAAAGAACTGAGTATCACATGTTCTCACTCATAAGCGAACCCTGAACAATTATCACAATACTACAAGCAAAGGATTGGCAGTAGTGAGAAACTGCGGGGGTGGGGGGGGAGGAGTGGAGAGGAGGGGAGGCAGGATTGGCAGTAGTGGGAATCTGTCTGGGAAAGGGGGACACATCTCATCAACAAGGGTGCCTGCATAATGAACATTTATATACCTAACCCTGAATTGTACCCCACATCTTTAAAATAAAAAAATTAAAAGTTAAAAATAAATACCTAAATAAACACTAGCTATGAGTATGACTATATACCAAATCTTAGGAGAGCCCCTAGCAAGTCACCAAACCTGGTCATGGAAATCCCCCAAACAGGTGTCTACTCCTGAACAGTATACTATTTGCACGAGTGTTTCCTAGCTGAATATCATAGACCAGAAAACTCACCTTGTTTGAATTTCTCCTTATATAGAGTCCCCTTCAGCTCACCACAAGTCACAGCAAGTTGAGGACATTGAAAATCAATATTTTCATCTCTGGGAATTCTCGGACCTGCAATGAAGCATTTTTAAAAATTCCATCTGCCTCTACAACTATGCACCCCATGTATTCCCACCCACTTTGAGATTCTTCTTTTATCATTTAAAATATATTGAAGTGACTTCCCCCATGGATTAATTACATTCAAGGATTTTCTTTTATGGCACATTAGATCGCTATAGATAATGTCATCCTCCACTCCATTCTTGCAAGTCCTACACAACAACCTGGTGCGGGAGGATCTGAACTCCAGACTTGTTGGTCACATTCACCTATCGCACGTATGACTTTCCTCCTGATATTTGAAGGGAGATTTCTATTCATATTATTGCTTTGAAGTTATGCAAAAAAAAAAAAATCCTCAAATTTTAGTCTTGTCCCTCTATTCAAGATATTAACTGGGCGATCAGAGAGCACGACTGCAACAGAGCACGCATATGGGCAGTGTCTGCCTCCCTCTTTGCCATTTGCTTTGCTTCATTTTTCCTTCCTGAACTTTCTCTGTGGCTGTAAGGGATGCTCGGGGAGGGGAACCCTGGAAGAAATTGCACATTGCTTAGGGAGCCCTGCATATCATGAGTGGGACACTGAGATCTGATTCCCCTGAAGCAGATACTGAAGGTCTTAAATGAATTTCTAGTCAACGTTGATGGGAATTCATAAAAATGAGTCTGGAGCTTCTCTCTGGGAGGGGAGGGTGGGCTGTCCATGTTACTTCCAGTCAGTTCAGAGATAGACTATTAGAGCTGGGGTGGGTCCAGGAGGGTACTCAGTCTAATTTACCTGCCACCCCCTTCCACACATTTATAGATGAGAAAATTGAGGCAAAAAAGGCCAAATGACAGGCCAGTTAACTACCAAAGAAAGTTTAGGAATCAGAACATGAGTCCTGTGTTACTACCGAGGTTTCCCCCTAGTGGGCACCTTGTGGCTCTCTACATAGACAAAAAAAAAGGGGGCAGCTAAATGTCATGTGGGTCACAAACTTGATACTTAATTTCTTTATATTTCCATTTTAAAAAGTTATCAGTGCAGTGAAGGGAGCCTGGTAAAGGCCCAGGAAGGACTGTGATCTCTCAAAGATCAACTGGCTAATCAATGGGGTGGGTGTTATCATTTTTTTGTCATGCTGACACTAAAATTGTAAAAATTGTCTGATGCTAATGAAAATCCTAATGTTTGATACCAGTTCCACAAGTCAATGAAGGAAATTGCTTTATCACTTAGAATACAGAGTACAGAATAAGAATTTAGATGCTTAATTATTAAAGGAGTATTAATCATTTTTTTTTTTTTTACCTCTTCTTCTTTTTCTTTTCAAAGGTTCAGAGTTGATGCTTTTTCTCCCTGAGGATGTTGAAAAACAACATAAATGTCTCTTGCTTTATAACATTGCATTGTAAACACCTTTCAAATGTAACTTTTTAAGAGCTTATTAAGTATTTAAAGAAAAATATCAAATGCCTACATCAGAAGTCAGGAACTTCTTCTGTAAAGAACCACATAGAAAATATTTAAGATTTTGTGGTTTATAATCTCTGCATGACTACTCGGTTCTGCAGTTGTGTCATAAAAACATTCGTAGACAATATGCAAATGAAGGGATGTGGCTGTGTTCCAATAAAACTTTATTTACAAAGAGTCAGTGGGTGGGTTTGCCCTGTAGGCCATAGTTTGCTGACCCCGGTCTAGATTTATTTAAAAAGATGATGTTTAACTGAGATTTATCCTATATTTCCCTATTAATATCTCCAAGTCATTCCAAATAAATTTGAAACAGTGTTTTATGTGCTTCTCAATAGACAAAGGAAGAACAAGAATGAACATGTGAGAGAAGAGATTACTAAACCTGTTTAAAAGAATAAAATAATAAGCTTGACTATTGAACAAAAGGTTTAAAAGAAACAAGTAAAATGGAAAAAATGGAGACCTCAAGGAGGTATGCAAAGCTTTCTTAATACTTCTTGCTTGTCCCTTAAAACAAATTGCTCTAGACTGATGGTTTCACAGGATGTGCCTGAGCCAAGTATGATAGTCAATGTGGTTGCCAGGGGTAAAAGTTCATCCACATAGGTGTGACTCTGTGTAGGACTCCCTTCTCTCACTCATAATGCTTAAGTGGTAGGCACACCCAGGAAAACCTGCCATCTCTAACTCTCTCTTTCCCTCTTTCTCGTTCTCTTCCCCACAGTTCCATGAAAAGACAGCTGTGCTCTGTCTGCTTTCTCCTTTCCATAAGGTGGTCAGATTGGAGACCCAGCCCTGGCCTTAACCTGGGTCAATAATGGCAATAGCCATTACTGGCCAACATACATTCTCTTGCTTTCAATCTCTCTCTGTTTAAATTCTTCTTGGACTAGATGATTAGCTAGATTCTTCTTTCAATCAAAATCTATTGAGGGCAAACAACTTCATGGCAAAGAAGCAGAAGCTCATTGTATTCCTTTCCCAGTTCTTGCCATGCAGAAATTTGGGCTGAAGACCCAATCTTATGTAATGAAGTGCTGCTGAACTATGCTTTACAGTGGCTCTTTGTGTGTTAGCTTGTTCCAGTACCTTTTTGCTATCATACATTTAGGAAGTAAAATGCCTGGACAAAGTAGGATTTAACTATACTTGGGTCTACTAGTCTTTTTCTTTGTTTTTTGAGTTGGAGTCTCACTCTGTCACCCAGGCTGGAGTACAGTGGCATACTGCTCACAGCCACTGCAACCTCGACCTGATGGGCTCAGGTGATCCTTCCGCCTCAGCCTCCCAAGTAGCTGGAACCCCAGGTATGTGCCACCAAACCCGGCTAATTTTTTGATTTATTGTAGAGATGGGGTCTCGTCATATTGCTCAAGTTGGTCTCAAACCTCTGAGCTCAGGTAATCCTCTCGCCTCCAGCTCCCAAAGTGCCGGGATTACAGGTGTGAGCCACTGCGCCTGGCCTGCCAGTCTTAATAGCGACCAAATAATAATAAAACTCTACATTAGCTCATTTAAATAATTGCAGTCAGAAAAAATTACAAGTTATTTAAAAATAATTTTGTTAGTAGTTGGAACTAATCATTCTGGGCAAAAGACTGTATCAGGATGTTTAAGTGACTCTTTGGTTATCTCAGAGTATCAGCAGAAGACTCAATATCCAGGAATGGTGCAAAAGGAGCACAGGCCTCCCATATTCTAAGGCAAGATGCTAGTCTAGCCTTGCTGCACAGAACATGATAGGAAATAGGGAACAGTCCTCACCTCTAGGCCTTATGAGAAAGGCTACATTTCTTTGGAGAGAATTGTCAAATACCTTCCCCTAAGCCAAGCAGAAAGGTTTTAAGACATCCATGCAGGAGATGGATCTCGGTCCCTGGGGACGTCAGAGTAGGAGAGACTATTAGACTCACCTCTTAGAAGTGAAAAGTGAAGGTCATGTCTAGAGGAGTCAGTAGTAGCAGAGGGGTGAGCTGGGAGCCAGCAAGCGAATCAGTGAAGAAGCATGAGTCCTATGACCTAGGGGAGGCCCTCTGGATGGGAGCTGGACTGGGTGTTTTTGAGAGAAACTCTGTCTGAAATAACTGCATTGGGTGTGAACCTTCTAGAAGGACCATCCAATGTCTTCATTCTCAAGCAAGTTGGCCACCATCAACTATGGAAAGGCAGTAGAATATACCACTTCTATTATACTAGAGGGGAATTTATAGTCATATAAATAGATATGCATATAAGTATATATTTATGTATATATATGCTTATGTGGCCAGAGAGTTTTAGAATAACTTATCTATAATCTGACAAATTTGTCTATAAATTTGAGACAGAGACTGACTGAAGGGAGAGCAAGATCACCACGGGGCATCCTGGCAGGAGATAGTGTCTGTCTTCTCTACTTGCTTCATCCTCCTTCACAGTTGCTTTTTCCTGGCTGAAATAGAAGCTCTGTGGAGTTCTAGAATCATCTGCAAATTGCACAGAGAGAAGGCTTTGCATTTTTGAACCTCTACATCGTGAAGGTGGGAGATTGGAAGGACTGAGAATGTGACTCGGTAGAGACAGGTGTAAAGCTCTGAAAATGAACTTCAGGTTGATTAGCTACTCTTCCTACCTTTCCAGCCAGGGATGCTGGGGAATCCATTAAAGACACTCCACAAGGGCCTGTGTTCAAAATGTGGAAGAGAGGGCTGTCCATGGTCCCTACCAACTCTGGTGAGAGATTCACGGAATGTGAAGCCATGTAGGAAACTGGGAAGGGCCTAGAAGGGCAGTCAGTCTAACTCACTTAATTTCACTTTATACATGAGTAAACTGAGGCAAAAGAGGTGAAGTGGCAGACTCAAGACCACACAATAATCACATGGTGGTGGGCAAGAGGAGGGAAAGCTGCATCACTTGTGAATTACACAGGTTTTTGAGTGCAAACTATTTCCAGGCTTGAAAGTTATCAATCCAGCAGAGCCACGGACAGAAGCCCTGGACCCTGAGGTCTGGTTTCAGATATATCACCAAGTTGCTTGCTTGTGGTATTATCATCTTTCTTACCCTGACTCATTTTGGAAGTTGACTAAATCTGATATATTTTTCAACAGTAAGTATAGCTAATATAAAGCGACTGGGAAAAACCAAGAATTTGGTCTGTCCAAGGAGACATGATGGTGAGCCATACAGATGAGTCACCAACCATCATCTTTGTCCTGGATGAAGGTCTTTGGGCTGAAAATGCAGTGAAAAAGAAAAAAAGCATACGAATTTAGATGCTTATTTAAAAATGTGTGTGTGTGTGTGTGTGTGTGTGTGTGTGTTTACCTCTTTGTTGGTGTGTTTTCTGTGTGACTCTTTTATTCAGAGTTAAGTGGCTTCGAGGTCTGCCTCTCTTTTTCCCTGCTAAAATACAAATATATAAAAACACAAGCTGCCAAAAAGTCTCATTGCATATAGTAGTGCTTTTCAAAAATTTCATATAACTGTAACTTTTTAAGAGCCTAACACGCAAAGAAAAATATATACCACATAGCTTGCAATTACCATACCTTTGATGGCTAACCTGGGTCTATCCTAGACTTAATTTTCTTTACCCTGACATCAGTCAAAATTCATTTACTCCCTTTTAATAAAAAGAATTTTTAGAAAGAGTTTCATTTGTGTCCCAAGGAACCCAGTCAGAAAAAGCTAACACTTACGTGCTTATTATGGGCTAGACACTAACATAACACATTTACATCTATTCATTTATTTATTAAATTGGGACTTTTGCTACCGTCATTATCCATGAAGAAACTGAAGCCTTCAGAAATTATAAAATTAAGTAAAGCATTGCAGGTGCCTTTGGTTGAGAGGCAGAAATCAATTGCAGCAACCCAAGAATTTGGTCTGTCCAAGGAGACATGATGGTGAGCCATACAGATGAGTCACTGGCCATCATCTTTGACCTGGATGAAGGTCTTTGGGCTGAAAATGTAGTGAAAGTGACCAAAAACATGAGGTTGGACAAAATTAGGATCTAAGAAACTAACCAGGATTGCCCAAGGGGAATTTGTACATAAAGGTTCAAGTCCTAGAAAAACTTAGGGTTGGTGCTAGCAAAGGGTTGACTGAAACCCTATCTCAAGAGAATATATTCTCAGATTCAACAGATGATAGGATGTGGGTGGAAAGACAGTGAGGTATTTGCAGGTAAATCTCATGCATTCCATGTTTAAAGGTGCTGGTCTCTAAGGCAGGGCCATAAAGTGTACTTCCTCCCTCCGTTTTCTCCCTTCCTCCTCCCTCCCACCTTCCTTTCTCCTTCCCTCCCTCCCTCCCTACCTCTCTTCCCACCCTCTCTGTCTCTTTCACCCTTTTTCTTTCTTTCTATGGCTTGATCACAACTTGGACTTGTCTAGCCATAGACATCTTAGGCAAAGACTCTTTTTCTATTCCTTTGTGTCTTTCTCTGATTTACCCTTCACCAAAGCCTGTTATGGTCAAACGAGTTAAAGACATACAAGTAGTCTGGTTCGGTTTACTCAAGTTCTCCTTACTAAGAGATTTGAGGATTAAGACCTGCTAATAATATAGAGCTACTGGGCTTTCCTTTGTAATTGTCCTTTGTGCGTTTTCTTGCTCAGATACCCCAGAGGAAGTAGTGTAGCTGTTCTTGGGTTTCCTGTCCAAATACTGTCCAATGACACCATATTCTTGCTATAGAAGTTGAGCAAAGAGCTCCCCTCTCCTCAAGGAAAGAGAGAGGGCTTTAGCTTCAAGGTAATTGATCTGCCTCTCCAGGAGTTTGAGGAAGGCAGAGACTTTTCCAGACTCAATCTTGGAAGATCTAGAGGAGCGACCGTGTTGGGAACCAGCTATAGGCCAACTGACAATAGGACCATGAGGAGGTATCATTAACATAGGCCTCCCTGAGGAAGGGAGGCACTCATTGAATTCTTCTTGAGAGATATTCTTCCCAGGAGGAGCACTTGGATGGATGAGGTAACCCCAGGCATGTGGACTTCCCCAAACTAGGAGAGGCATGTGGACCTCCTCAAGCTGGGAGACGAACAGGGAATTATTAAGCAGCCAGCTGGAGTTCCTGCATTAGGGGAACATCAGTTGAGAAGGTCTCTCTAAATTGGGTGTCTCTAAAGAACTCACAAATGAACGTGGCTCAAGCATCCACCATTTCTGGGAGACACCAGGATCTATCATAAGAAGACCACTCTTGCTCCTGACTGTTTCATTCTTTCCCTCTTCCCCAGATTCAAATTAGCTGAAAGCAACAGAAACTGAGTAGAGTTAGAAGGAAGCATGAGAAGAGGCTGGTCTCGCCCAGCTTCCCTGCTACAGAGTTTCTGGTTTTAATATTTCATCAGCTCAGATTTTTAAATATTAAATGAGATACCACTGCTGCTTAAAGGAACTAGCAGAGCTCTGGGGCTTACCCAAGAATTCATCTATGGTCAAGAAAAAAACTACTTGAGAGAACAGGTTTAAAAAGAAAGTAGGAGACAAAATAAATGTGATCACAACCTGCAGTGACAGTGACAATCAGATCAGCCTTCTGGACCCAGAGTTGGAAACCTCATGTTAAAAAAGGCAGATTCTTTCTAACACTTCTGGACTGTTAGATGAAAGAGAAATAAATTATTTGGCTTAAGCCGCTGTATTTTGGGATCTTTTGTAACAACAACTTACCCTGTATTCTAAATAATCCATTAGTTATGAAGCTATCATGACTCATAGGAGATTTGGGGGCTACAGAAAAGATGGGGTCTGGCAGGGAGATCAGGACCCTAGCAAGCTCAAAGGAGTGGATTCTCACATTTCTTCTTACCTCTTTGGAGACTGTTTACTTTATATACCTGTTTTCTCCTTTTCCCTTCAAACAGAAAAGAAAGAAAATAATCATTTAAAACTATAAGCAAAGATTTACAAGCTTTATATGTCAATAGCTTTCAAGTATTTTATTTTGAAGTCTTCCTTCTATGTTTGTGGGGATAAATCTTCAGCTACCAACATCCCATCTTGGTTGGCATCATGTGGAAAACAATAATCACAAAGTCCACTTACATTTACACAGTGCCAGTTATTTACACTATGCTTTTACACATCAACATGTGGTCTTGCCATTCACTATAAATAATTTTTTTTTTAAATCAGAGTCTTACTGTGATGCCCAGGCTGGAGTGCAGTGACATGGTCACAGCCACCACAACCTCAAACTGCTGGGTTCAGACAATCCTTCTACCTCTACCTTCCAAGTATTTGGAACTACAGGCATGTACAACACCCAGCTACTTTTTAAAATTTATTGTAGGGACAGGATCTCGCCAAGGTACATAGGCTAGTCTTGAACCCCTGAGCTAAGGCAATCCTTTTGCCTCTGCCTCCCAAGGTGCTGGGATTACACACTATAAAGAAAATGTAAAGAGCAACTGAAGTCAGGCAGCAGCTGCCAGCAGAAGAATTAGAGTATGGAGGGGCTCGAGTGAGAGTAGGTCTCAGAAATCCCTAGTGAAGTATACTTCCTGGAATTTAGAGGCATGCCTTAAAAAGCTAAAGCTGTGATCCCTGTTTATAAGAGTCAGAACTTAAGAAAAAGTAGAAGAAGAAAAATCAGAGAAATAAAGACAAATTTAGAAGAAGAATAAAGGAGATCAGACACTTCAGAAATTAAAGTGAAGGACATAGATTATAGAAAAAAGAAAAGGAAATAAGAAATTTTAAGAACAGTTTAGAAAAATTAGAGAGAAAATAATCAATGGAATACTGTGAACAAATCATTGGCATTCCTACAAAAATCAAAATAAGAAAAGAAATAATTGAAGATAGTCAAGAAAAAAGTTTATGAAATTATAATATAAAATGGAATGGATATATAAAAAGTACCTACATTTTCACCCTGTAGCAAATAAATTTGACTTAAAAAGTCAACACAGATATATTTCAGTAAATTTACTGAATCTTCAAGACAAAGAAAGAATTGAGTGGGCAGCACAAGAAAAAACATTTTCAAGGGAATAGATCTTAATGGCCATACAATTTTCCACAGCAACATAATACCACAGGAAAGAAGAGAAAGCCTACAAGATATTTCTAGAAATAAAAAATGAGGCTAGGCAAGGTATCATGCTTATAATTCCAACAATTTAGGAAGTGAGGTGAGAGGATTGCTTGAGCCCAGGAGTTCAAGATCAGACTGGAAAACAGTAAGACTGCGTCTTCGATAAGAAAAAAAAAAGAGCAAATTATTTTTACGGTAAAAATAACACAACAAATAATTTTGAACAGGAAAATTCTAGGAATGTTGTTTCTATGAGTCCTTATTGAGAAAAATTCTAGAGGATACACTACAGCAAACTGAGGCAGAAATAAAAAAATTGTGGCAAACAGACCAAATTACAAGTAGGGAGTGGAATTAAAGACCAAAATATTAAGTATATATTCTCTGACAATATAGAGATGATACTTGCAGAGCAAGTTCTTTATCTATTCTATAGGTAGTGGTCAAAAGGTATTGTTTAGAAAAATTCAAGAGTGAATGTAAAGCATGTTTAATGACTGAAATGTAAACATAATGGTAATGTCATGGCCTCAAATTGGGTGGGAAAGGAAAAAGAGGGGACAGAGAAATGGGACACATGCTGATTCTATAAATCTCCTGGGTGGAAAACAAGTGAGTATTGTTTAAAAGAGAGGACCAAAGGTATCATATAAAGGTAATTCTAACAATACAAACCTTTTTAAACATCAGGAGTATACACTCCCAACCAATGAGAATACAGGAAATAGATGAGGACTCAACCATTCATTTCTTTTCAAAGAAAGACTCAGAAGCTGACCACATTTCTTATGCTCATATACCATTGACTAGAACTTAGCAACATGGGCAGAGTTAACTGTAAGGAAGGTTGAAAGAAGAGCCTCAGCTAGGTAGACATGTGTCCAGTTGTAATCACTTGAAAAATGTAAATCTTCCTTAGTATCAGAAGTACTCAATCCATATGAAGTGCAGAGAAGACAGAATGCGGAATGTCGACTTTTAAAAAATCCAAACTCCTAGAATATATATTATATGTGACTAAAACAAGATCAAACATCTTGGTCCTATCAATTAGATTAAATGGGCCTAACTCACTTATTTAAAAAAAGAAGTTTGAGATTGAATTACAGGGTAAAAACCTACTTTTCATCATCTACAAAAGACTGACTTTAAGATATATTTTTAAAACATTGAAAATAAACATATAGGCAAATATGTAATCAATATATATCAACAAAGAGAAAACAGGGGTCATGCAATTCAGACTAAAAAGTTTTAAGCAAGTAGAAATAGAAGATGCAGTAAGAAACAGGCAGAAGTGCACTGTTAGTAGAAGACTTTATTTTTGCTTCTTTTAGATCATGAGAGATCAGTGAACAAAACAGAAAAGAATGGAAGACCCAAATGGTGCATTTAACAAGGTCAGTGTTACTTATACATATTGAATTCCACAGAAAATAGAGTATACTCGCATACATTTTTCCCCATCCTCTCTTAAACAACTCTAGAGTCGAAGAAGACATCCAAATCCAAATCGCAAGGTATCTAGCAAATAACAATAATAAAAATACTGCCTATGAGAGCCATGGAGGTTTTCTCTGCCTTGGCTCTTATAGCTTAGTCCCTCACCTCATTTAGATCTTGGGCTATATGTAGTTTGTCAATGAGGCTCTCCTTGGCCACTCTATATTGGCCGATTACTGTCACTCTACAACTCCATTACTCTATTTTTCTTGATAGTATTGTCAGCATCTAAAATATTACATACTTATTTGTCTGTTTCGTATATACCCTCAGGAGAATGCAAACTTGATGAGATTTTGTTTACTTCTTTATCCTTATTGAGTAGCTTTGGAGATAAATATTTGTTGAATAAATGAATGAAGGGTCTATAAAATAGGCAACAAATAGTAAGATATCTTAGGTTCATGAATAGGAAGAGTCAACATCTTAGACAAGCCAATTCTCTCCAAATGTACTATATGCAATTTTAATAAAAATTCAACTAGGTTTCCAAAGGTTGACAAAATGATACTAACACTTACAAGAATGAGAAATGACCATAATATCCAAGACAATTTTGAAAAAGAAAAAGTCAAGAGAATTGACTCTTCTTATCTGATATTATGATATTATAAAATTATAGTATTTAATAGGTTATACTATGCATTGATGTATAATAAAGCAATGGATCAGACTAGAAAGCCCAGAGACAAATTCATGCCTACTATATGGAACTTTGATGCATGCTATGTGTGACATTACACATCAGTGAAGAAGCTGATTGGTTATCCATGTTGGAAAAAGTTAGACCCAACCTCATGCTACATAAAGCACAACTCCAAAAGAATTTAATATCTAAATGAGAAAAGAATGATGGTATCCTCACCTCATATTCCCAAAACCAGATCTTGAGATAAAGATTTGTGTTTAGTAAGTTTATTTTTGAAATGATTACAAGAATCAGTAGTGAGGAACTAGGAGGAGAGCCAACTAGGGTGGTCACCAGTGTGGTTAACTGAGCCTCAGTCTTGCTGAGGACCTTCTGAAGAGCCATAAAGAAATGAAAGAGAGTATTTATTCACCAGATCTGGTTTCATTGGTCAATAAGCCTGTTAAAGTAGAAAAATTATGCACAAATCTTGGTAATCTCAGGTTAGGCCAATATTTCTTAAACAAAGTTGAAAAAGATAATATAGACTGATTACCCAAAGATAAGATTGTATGTACATCAAAAACATGATAAATTACATTAAAATGTCAAAGGGTGATATGCAAAGGACTAGGGGAGTTTTTAAGAAGTGGAGATTAGGCAAGACCTCTCTGAAATGGAGGCACTAAGCTACAAATGGATATGAATTGGAGCCATCTCCATGAGAGAAAAAGCATTTTATATAGTATCAACAGAAAGTGCAAAGGTTCTGTGGCAGAAAATTACTTAGTTTGTTCAAGGAAGGCCAGAGTAATGAGTGAAGGGAGAATAACAGATGAGATGTAAGAGGCAATCAGGGCAGCCTACATAAATGCTTAATAGGCATGGTAAGGAGTATAAACTTTTTTCCTAGGCAAACCTTTTCTTCCAGTTTCAACTGGAAACCATTGAAAGGGTATGGGCAGTTGAGTGACAAGGCTGTTGGGCAGAAAATGAATTTTAGGTGGGCAAGAATGGAAGCAGAGAGACCAATTAGCAAGATTCTGCCTACCAGATTTAGACCATAAGCAAGATAAACAAGATAATGGGGCTTGGATGGGGTAGTGGCAAGAGAGAGAAAGAATGGACAAATTTAATGCATAATTTTGGAACTTGCTAATAGAGTGAATGTGGGGATTAGGAATGGGGAAATTCAAGCATACATTTTGGTTCAAGCAACTGAGTAAATACAGCACCATTTACTGAAGTAAGGATGACTGGTGTGGATGACAGGTTTGAGAGTGAGAGTCAAGAAATATGTTTGATATGTCATATTTGAGTCACCTGTTAGAATACAAATGGAGGTTTGGAGTAAGATACTGAACTTACTACTTTGCCATTCATGAAAGAGATAGGAGGAGAAATATAATTGGCAGACATTAACATATTGATGGAATTTAAAGAACTGGATTGGATGCAATTCCTAGGGAAAGAGTTTAGTTAGAGATGAGGGGAGCACCAAAGTCAAATCCATGAAGTACTCCAACATGTGGACATCAGGAATTCAAGAAGAAACCACCAGCACCACTAACACCACTACTATCCACACTACTACACCATCACGAACAAATGACCAGGAAGAAGGTGTCAGTCAGGAGGAGACCGTGGTGTCCCAAAAGACAAGAGAATGCATTCATCTACATGG